ACCACCCTCTTTGGATCCTTATACTCATTCTACAATAATGGTTTTATACAATATTTATTCATCTGGTACTGAGTTAGTTCACTCAGCATAATGCTCTCCAGTTCCTCCCAAGTTAGGTAATAATTTAAAAAAAAATCATTGCTTCTGCTGCTGCATAGTATGCCATTGTATAAATGTATCATAATTTCTCAAGCCATTCATTTGTGGTTGGATATTTGGGCTGTTTCCATAGTCTTGTGATGATGCATAGTGCTGCTATGAACATTGGTGTACAAGTCTCCATTTGTGCCTCAGTTCTCATTTTCTCAGAGTATATTCCAAGTAGTGGAATAGCTGGATCATATGGAATTTCTCTGTTCAGCTTTCTGAGGAAGCTCCAGACTGCCTTCCAGAATCTTTTTTTGAAGGTGATGCAAATTCATTTTCTTCCTAGTTAATAGCCATCCATGGCTGCTCATGACACGGTAGGTACTCAGCTTTATTTTTGTGTCCTTTTGTACCCTTTATATTTTCTAAGTTGTTCTTGTACACCATCAAGTCCAAACTGACCCATAGCTGATGCTCCAGCAGGTTTTCAGAGGCATTTAATCACATGGGAGGAAATTGCTCATCATTTTCCCATGCAGCAGCTGGTAGATTCAAACCAGAGACCTTCAGAATTATAGTACAACTTTTCTTTCCCATGAAAACTCAGGCAGACCTTGGGGGGTTGGGCGATTAACCTAATAGACACTTTATGACCATACTTAGGTAGTACGAAGTCCTCCAGTTAGAAAGTGAATAAATGTCCATGGAATAAACATAAGTGGTAATTGGCTTTTGAATGTTTTCTTGCTCCTCTCCCAATACTTTAGGTAGATCACACCTCACAGGATAAACCCTTTGTGAGAAAGGGAGTTTTTCCAGAATAAATTCAAAGGCAATGGGTAATATTTATGAAAACAGATTGCCACATCTTTCTATGAAAGGGCTTCTGGCAGATTAACCACTGTATTACCAGGATTCCAGGGGCGTAGATTTTCTGAAGCCAGATTTAAGAAATATTGCCCTACAGGTTTCTGAACAGGTATTCAAGATATAACTGTTAATGTTTGCTAGAATTAAATATGAAAACTACCACTACAAATTCATTATTTGGTTCCCCCCCATAATTTATAGATTAGACTGTGTACAAAACAAAATGTGGGTTGCAGCATTTGGAGTGTTTTCTGTTGCATTGGCAGTAGTGAGCGGCTTTGGCTTGATGCTGTACGTTGGGGTTCCATTTGTACTTGTAGCTGGAAATTCACCATTTCTTATTCTAGATAAGTAAAATGAAAATGTAAGAGTAGGTAGTAGAACCATAGTTGTATATGTTGGGAGTAGGGGATAGAGTACTAAAAGAGGTTACTTTAAACTGAGGGAAATAACCGTGTTTAGGTTAAGTCTCCAGAATGACAAAATGAGGTGGTTCCATGGAGGACAAGCAAACTGAATTCTTTTTTTTTAATAGTTCTTTTTTAAGTTGCTATTTTAATGAAAGTTTACAAAAAACTTGGATTTCTATTCATTCATTATTGCATTTTCTTTCCTAAGCCCCTCATTTGCTTTTCTCTTTAAAAAGATTGTTTCATTGATGGAGTTTCCTTCCTTTCCCGCCCCTTCAAGTCCAATTTGCTATGCATCTCTTATTCTGAACTATCGTCATGCAAATAATATCTAATAATATATTCCTTTTAAATAGTTCTCTCCCTCATCTATTTCAACACAGTGTTCATTATTTATCCCCTTTTTTACTAGGTTCCCCCAACTCCCGTGTCAGTCCTGTTTTATAACAGTTGCATTATGCAGTATTTGTTCTTTTGAGAC